GGGGCTTTCGCGAACCTTTCGCGACCTGCATTTTGTCTTCCGCGAAAGAATGTGAGATTACAGCTTGCGCACTTTTCAGTGTAGAGGTTCTTTGAAGCTGCTCAATGTGCCAGGCGCCTACCTGGGCCTGGTTGCACAACTTTCGCGCCAAGTTGTGCGGGTGTAAGCTCACCTTAAGCACACCCATCGGGTGGATCACCGTGACACCCGACGAGGAGCTCGAACATGCTAAAAAATTTTTGATTGAAACATCTGGGCAACTTCAAATTCAACGGTTGCTGTGCAAGGAGCCGTTTCGACGGACTCCTGCTCGCAGGCCCCTGGCTGAGGCGCATTTTCACGCGCGTTGTTCAACGCGCTTTTGTATGACGAGTGAACCGGCCCCTCTCTGCCTTCCCTACTTATTAACTTTCTATTCTTTACCACATCATCATCCAAGCCCTCAAACCTCTCGTCCATATACACGGCCGCTGTGCGTAAACGTTTTGCGACAACCTATTCCACACAATGACCTTCATCCACCCCAGATTACTATAGATTGTTCGCCCATTCTTGTCAGCGCTCTTCGTGCACCTTGCGGCGATGCTCCGAAGCATCATGTCGCATGCGCTCGCCATCGTCGACTTGTAGGTGTAAGGTCTCCAACGCTTGTCTAATGCTTGCGCCGTTTACATTTTCTAGGCGTGCAAAGATCGACGGGATTGCCGCCCTTTTAAATCGTTTCCCGTGTCGTCCAGCTGTCCAGGAAGTGGCGCCCCAAGTGGTACTTGACATAATCTCATTTACTAGCGCAATATATCTATCCCTACTGTAGCGGCCAAGAACGTAAGTGCACCAGCAGAGTAAGTTCAGCTTCTTCCCTGGCAGGACTTGCTGCTGCTGCTGCTGTTGCTGCTGCAAAAACATATGTTCACACATCCAGCGTGCCTTGAGAGCCACCTCCATGCTCATATGACACTTTTGCAACGCGTTAGTGACGCTTCTTTCGAAGGCACTTCTTACTACGTCGGGAGAAATGAGAGCTGGAACTTTTGTTTGTAGCCATGTCCGCAGGTCCAACGCAACCCAGTCGGTGCGAGAAGGGAGAGGCGCCGCAAGGAGCACGTGGCCCGAGAGACCGCCGCGAAGGCGGTGAGAGGGTCAGAGAGGGTTCAATATGACAGGCTATTCGTGGACTTTTCGTGGAGTGATGGGCCACTATAGGCAAGCTAGCCGTAACAAGAATGCAGCTACTTTCGCAAAATTTTATGGAAAGTTGATTATCATTCGATGACCTCACATCGTGTCAGCAATGACCCCCTGTTCAGATTCAATGTTGGAAAAGACAGTCAATGAACATCATCACCGTGGCAAACTTCTGTGCAGGCCCGGGCCAAAGCTGCCCGGAGCGAGCTGGCTCGACGGAGCCGTGGCCCGGCGCAAAACGTAAAACTAATTGACTTCGCCAACAGAAATCGGCGCATATTTGGCACCTCAGGCGAGGACAAAGAGTTCCTCAGAGCCGTGCACCGGCAGCGGGAGGCTGCTGCAAAGGCGAGGACGACGAATTGACGATTGTAGGTGCTATCAGTTTCTGCCAGTTTGTAACTTGCTTACCCCAAGGAAGATGCCTGAAAGAACATAGACAACAAAGATCCAGACGCAGTGATTTCGACTCAGGCAGCGGCGCTGGTGCCAAAGGCTTTGGTGCCTGCGTGGCGTCTGGCCTTCAGCGCTGCCAGTGAATGCGTCCGTCAAGCGGTCATTGCGGCTCATGGCTAAGGTGTGGCAAAGGTAGAGGGAG